GAATGATGTACAAATGTGCTTTACACAATTGATGTGTGTATGGATTGCGATAACAGTTGTATGAGCCCCTAATAAAATGTTTTAAAAAAGAAAATTAAAACAATTCCATAAAAGCTAAAATATAATAAAAAGAAAAAAGAAGGCATTGTATGGATGCAAAATCATCTAGCGTTCAGGCATAGACAAAATATTTACTGATATACTTTTCGGTGGTTTACATCGCATTCTGTTGAGGAATTATTTGCATCTCCTACTGGGAATTTTCAGTTTTGCACTTCGTTTGTTGATAGTTACCTTTTAGCATCCAGCTTCTAAGTGAAATGATTATGTGTGTATGAAAATTATTGCTCTGTCCCTAGAATTTACAGAAAATAATTTGTGTTCTTTTTGTTTGTTATCACTTATTAGCTGCTGATTAAATTGAGCAGGTAAATTCATTTAGTGGAGTTAGTGCTAGTATCTTCACATAACTTGCTTTGTAAATGATTAAATATATTGGAAAATTTCCACTCTGTATGAAGAGATTACTGCATTTTCTATTATTCTTAGTTATATTTCAGTCAGCCCAACTCATGAGGGTGCCTGTTGCTCCAGAGGACAGATGGTCCAGAGGGTTTTTTTGGCTATAATTTCTACAGCCTGCAGAAGCCCCCGGTGAGGTCAAACTGTCACTTCTTTGGTTAGCAACCAATTACCATCCACTTGCACCACTTGAGCTACTTAAAGAAATGACTACTAAATGCAAATATGAAGGAAGTATATACCATGAATGTCTTACTTTATTGTGAATTAGTTATATGTCTTCTATACTTCTCATACAGTTAAGAAAATGTAAAATGTTACTAAAGAAAGACTTTCATCCGCAGCCCCAAAGAGTTTCATTGAGATATTCTTTTAGCTACTCTGTTCATAACCCTCCACCCCCACCACTATACTCTAACTCCACTGAATACGTTATATAGAATACGGTATATAGACCATGACAGCTATAATTGTTTGATTGTGAAGTATTGCCTATATAAACACAAAATCTAAGAAAGTTAAGTTCATATTGTTAGTGAGACCCATGTGGATGGCTGCTATCAGTTAAGTGAAGGGTTTAAATAATGTATTAATATTATCCATGATCTGAATATATTATAGGATTGAGGGATTTGCCCTTTTTTGTGATATATGGTTATCCCACTCCCTCAGTTCATCTGAGAAGGCAGCCCCCAGCTTCCTAGGAAGACAACAGAAAACACCAGATTATGTAATCATCAGTATCATAGGATGATTAACAGCAGAGAGACCATTGTCTTTGCCGAATCAGCACCAGCTATACAATGAAGAAGATCTATCTCTCCATTGGTGGTGAGAAGGCGTAGTTTATGTCAATTTTTATTTGATTTGGAGTAAACTTGATTATCTCTATATTTAACAATTAAATGGGATAGTGTGATTGACTATAAGCCAATAGAACTCAGAGAAGGTGCTAAAGCAAAAGGCTCATTGCTTGTCTGAGGAAATTATTGCAGACGGAGTTTTGACTTCAGGTAACAGTTGAATATTAAGACCCCAAGAGCCCTTCCAACTCACAGTCTGAGATTCTGTGGCTTGACAATCTCTCCCAAAAAAATCTGTTTTCTGATCTTTTAGAACCTGTAGAGAGACTTGCACTTTTGATCTCTGAGAAAATGCTTATGTGTCCTTCTTTTCAAACTCTTCAGCTGCTCCTTCGGGAATTTATCCAATCTAGATGAAAATAGCAACTCAATATTTCAAAACCGGATTCCTCAAAATGGGGACAATTTGTGGAATTTCACCTGGAAAACTTTTGAGAAACTCAAACAGTGAGTTTAGGGAAATCATCAGCCAATCAGTGGGGGAAAATTATGTAGACCACCTTATAAAATAAAGAAGTGGGCTCTTTATCTTCTTAGCTAAACATGAAGAACCTAACATTCCCCAAAATAGCCTTACTAAACTAGAGTTTAAGTAGCAGATTTCAGTTTCATCTAAAAACATACAGCCAGAGTATACACCAGAAAGAGAAGTACAGGTTCTACACATATGTGTTTCATTTAAGCCAGGTGCCAGCTAATCTAAAATAATTAGAAAGAAAAAGAACATAGAATTGAGGGGAAGAATGACCCAGTTTTGTCACTAAGAAAAACTCACAGAATTATGGATAATGACTAGGCTTAGCACCAGTAGCTCTCAACAGTAACTTCATGTTTATCAGAGTGGAACTGTGCTCCTTGGGATTTTTAATGATAGTTTCTCTAAAGTAGATCTCCAGCACTTTCTTCCAAGGCACCTATTAGTGGATTCAAAGCTCTAATCTGTTTTAGGAGCAGCTGAGGAGCGTTAACCATTTGCCTCATCAAGGAACTCTTACTTACTCTTAATACCTTGGTGAGAAAGTAGCTCCTGGTTTTCTTATTGCTGCCACTTAGCTGAGCTGCCGACACTGATCCCTACAGGGATGAGGAGGACATGTTCTCAAGTACTGCACATCCACTGGGATCCAGGTGCACAAAGCCCCTGACCAGATCGGTGTCCCTGTTTCTCAGTAGGTACTTATATTATTTGCTCCAATTTAGAGATGAGCAGCTATCAGCTCTGTATGGTTCCCCGAAAAGTAAAATATTATGCACATGTCATAGACTGGGGAAATAACAGCAGAAGAGAGAAAAATCTACCTGGAGACAGATCCTCTTCTGCAGGTCTGTGCTCCTCTGAATCAATAAATTAGCCTTTTCTATCCATCAGGACTGTCAGCTCCCCCAGCTTTACAAGGTCTGATGACCATCATGTAATGTAGTCATCAGAAACCTATACTGTGATCATTGGACTCCTGAGACTAGAGCTACTGCCCGGGAGGCATTGCCTCGGGGTTAATTAGCAACCAACTGTATTTTTAAAAAAAAGTAATGTAACCAGTATCCCAAAGGTGGACTTAGTTGAGGAGTCTGGGGAATAGGAGTCATGAGCACAATTGCCCTGTATTGAACTTGTAAGTTTAGTCCATCTTCCATGCCGATTGAATCCTGAAGTGGAACCCACCACAATGAAGAGTATAATGAGACAGATTAAACGGGAAATTCTCACTGCATTTTAAGACAGGAGACTGGCGTAGCTATCCACGGATTCTCAACTTTAATGTTTAGAAGAATTAATAGGGGACTTAATTAAAATTCCTATTCCCAGGCCCCCAGTCGAAGAAATTATAAATAACCTAACTAGGATATTTTGCATGAGCCCTTAGGGCACAGTGGGTACTTGTTGGTCTGCTAACTGCATGGTCAGCAGTTTAAAACCACCAGCCACTCCTTTGGAGAAAGAAGAGGCTTTCTCCTCCCATAAAGATTTACAGTCTACTCTGCCATATAGGGTCATTAGGAGTCAGAATAAACTCAATGGCTGTAAGGTTTTTCTTTCCTTTGAATGTTCTGCAAGAACCTAAATTTTTGTTTTAATCTCAAATCTAATTGTGTGCTGTCATTAAATCAAGGAAACTTGATGGTACAGTGGTTACTGTACTCAGCTACTAACCAGAAGTTTGGCAGTTCAAATCTACCAGCTGTTCCAGATGTAAAAGATGAGATCGTCTGCTTCTGTAAAGATTGACAGCCTTAGAAGCTGTGTAAGGCGGCTCCTCTCGGTTCTCTAGGTTCACTATGAGTGGGAATTTACTGGACACAGTGAGCTTGATTTGATTTCTCTATTGTTAAATTGCTTGTTATTTTATGAGTACCTTTATTCAGAATAAATACTATAAAGTTCTGTTGGCTCCGTAAAGTGAATACAGGTCAAATTCCAATGTAATTCCAATGCACATAATTTGTGAAGACAACTTGGGAAATGGATTTCTAAAATGTACAAGGGAAAACTTTTTTAAAGGATTGGTATTATAGGGACTGACTCTTGAAATAATTGGGTGACTTAGTACTGAAAAGCGCATGCCAATGATGCAGTGCGAGGGAACACCGCCACTGCTTGTCCGTCTGTCATACCATTGTGACTAGCATTCTACCACAACGTTAGAAGTTTTGTCGCCAAGAGTTCAAAGGCCAGTAGGCTTATTCATGGTGAAAGGTTTCCCTGGGCCTCCAGAATTAGGTAGACCAGGACAGAGATCTGGGGACCTAATTTTGAGAATGAATCAGTGAAAATCCTGTGGATCACAGAATGTCCAAAATTCTCACTCACAAAGAGTGCATCATCAGAGATATCAACTGTGGATGGATGACGTTTGGTAAAGTGAAGGTCCAGCGAGGTGTGGGAAATCCTCAATGAAATAAACTGACAAGACTGACACCATTATAGATTTAAAATAGCAATGATTGTGAAGATGGCACGGGATCACGCAATGTTTTCTCTATCAATTGTGGGGTCCCAATGAGTTGAAATTGACTGGATGGCAACAAACAATACCATGCTGGAGCCGAAGAGCAAATACAGACACTGATCTGTGCGTGCTTGAGAGCTGGGTCTTTAACAGAAAGACCCCACAAACAAGTGAAGAAACCATGATGATTAATGAAATAATACCAGGAAGCTGATATTCTTATATGTACCTCTTCACTCAGAAGGAGGAAGCCTGATAGAATAATGCAATAATCTATTGGAGGCTCAGGTATAGGACTACCTGTCTGACAACACATTGTGGACCCCCTTTTGGCTCCTACAGCTGCATATATTCTGAAACAGCACCCAATGTATTACACCCATTCTTCAATGATGCAGATGCAAGACTCTGGGAATCACTATATGAGGAGAATATTACAGTTTCCTTTCATTATTACCCCTAACGACTCACTCAAATAACGTTGGGCTTTGTGATTTGGAGGTGTCTTTTCCCCCAAAGAGTGAAGCCTCGACCAGTGAACACAAAGGTGGTTACATTTATTTTTTTATTTTTTAATCATTTTATTGGGGGCTCATACAACTCTTATCACAATCCATACATACATCAATTGTGTAAAGCACATTTGTACATTCATTGCCCTCATCATTCTCAAAACATTTGTTCTCCACCTAAGCTCCTGGCTTCAGCTCCTCATTTTTACCCTCCCTCCCCACTCCCTCCTCCCTCATGAACCCTTAATAATTCATAAATTATTATTTTGTCATATCATGCCCTGCCCAACATCTCTTTTCACCCACTTTTTGTTGTCTGTCCCCCAGCAAGGAGGTTTTATGTAGATCATTGTAATCAGTTCCCCCTTTCCAACCCACCCTCCCTCCACCCTCCTAGTATCGCCACTCACACCACTGGTCCTGAAGGGATCATCCTCCCTGGATTCCCTGTGTTTCTAGTTCACAAGCAATTGATGCTGACTGTTCAACATTTTAGTTTACCTTATACCCTGTTGTCATTGTTGCTAGGTATAGTTAATAGATTATGAATCCCAGCAGCCCTACATACGACACTGCCTAGTCTTATGCCATCCTCGTAATCATTGTTATTTTGAGCCTATTACTGTAGCCATTGTGTCAATCCATCTCATTGAGGGTCTCCTTTTTTTTCCCCCTCACTGAGCATAATATGTTTTTCCAGCGATGGGTTCTTCCTGACAACTTGTCTAAAGTACCTGCAATGAAGTGTAGTCTCCATCTCCACTTCTAAGAAGCATTCTGGCTGTTCGTCTTTGAGGTAGTTAGTTTATTGTGCCAGCCTGGCCAATAAACACATGTGGGGTTAATTGAAGGATGGGTGGATAAATGGCTCAGTGAACCTCACCTTTCGAGTTATCTGGTCTCTCGCTCTCTAATGATTTGACCAGGGTGCAGCTGCCTCAGCCAGTTCCATGCTTCAACTGAAAAGGCTCACTTCCTGGGAGACATCCCTGAGGAGAAGCCACATGGACCTACCCTCGATGCAGCCCTGGGTGCTGGAGCAGCCATGTGGAGACCCCTGCCAGCGCTGAGATGCTTACACACTCACTGACTCAGCTTTCCTCCTGCAGCCAATATCGTTGTGTCTGTTTTGTGGGATGGAGGAGGACTTTGTGGATTAGTGTTGGACATATGGGTTAATAGGTTAATGTTGGGACTTGTGGGCTTGGACAACACTGGGTTGGGATGCTTACTTAATGTGCACTTACCCCTTATATAAAACTCTTTTTTATACATGAGTTTCTGTGTATTTGTTTCTCAAAAGTACCCAGACTAACACAGTCTTCCAAGACAAACTTGGCTTTTTGTTTGTTTGTTTTCTGGAAGTCCATGGCATATTCAATATTCACCAATACAGGCAGAAAGGACTCTCCGGGCTGGTGAACAGTTAACAACTGTTGGAAGTTTGAGTCCACCCACAGGAACCTAAGAAGAAAGGGCTGGAGACCTGTTCCTGAGAATTCAGCCACTGAAAACCCTGCACAGCCCTGTTCTACTCTGACTTATATGAGGTTGCCATGAGTTGACCTTAATCGGGTGATAACTGATTTAATTGACAGAAAATGGACTTATTACTAAAGCTAGGGTGACTGGTCCTATTTTTTTTTTATGGAAAGCAGTGTTTCTGACAGGTTACTAGGGCAGAATGTAAAACTCTGGAATCCATAAGAATCTTTAGAGTGTCTTTTAATGATTCAGATAGAAGAGTAAATTGTAATAGAAGACTTAATTAGGCCGGCTCACCAATTAGACCACTTCACTAATTGGTCAGACCCTTCAAAATTAGAGGTGATAAATAAGTTGAAAGGAATATTGAATGGTTGGAAGAAAATAGATCATAACTACCAATAACTTTTGTTTTCATTACGGAAACGAGAATTCGGTAACTGGATATTTTTATTGCTTTATCATGTATATTAATATTTGTGTGTGTTAATAATTTTATCCTTTTCTTAACCTACCATTAGGAGCTAGGTTAGGTGTCATTAGCAAATTTTCCATTTCTATCTTTTCTTAAAAAGCTATCTAAAGCAAATTATGGCATGCTGTGTCTCCCCATTTTTTTGAGATGAATGGGTACACCTTTTTGTGAGAAGCATATTTGCATCATATAAATTCCTATATAAGCTCATGCAAATTATATAATAAATGCATATACATTCCAAGCAGTTGCCACTGTTTGGAATTGTAATAGGAACAGAAGAATGTGAATATCTGAAAGGATAAATGGTGCATGCTAGAATTTGTTGATATTTGGTATCATACTTGGACATCTAAGCTGTCTTTCAACTATAGGAAAGAAAATCCTGGAGTATATTTTCCAGATTTTTTGTTCAAAAAAACAAAATAATTAAAAAAAATAAGCCAAACTCACTGCCATCAAGTTGATGCCAATTTATCGCAACCCTATAGTACAGAGTAGAACGCCCCTGTGAGTTTCCAAGACTGTCACTTTTTACAGGAGTAGAGAGCCTCGTCTTTCTCCTGAGGAGCAGCCGGTGGTTTTGAACTGCTGATCTTGCAGTTTAAAGCTGAACTCGTAATCACTATACCACCAGGGCTCCTCTTTCTTTTTTCAGAAAAATTCCTCAAATGAGAGCCATTTGAAGAGATATTTGAATGATGAAAGAGAAGAAAGTCTTTTTTTTAAAAAATTGTAAGTCAGTGTGAGGTTGTCAGGACCTCTCAGATAGATGTAGACTATTATACTTGATTTCAGATTTACTCAGAAGAAGACCCTTGACACAGTGGTTGTCTCAAGGGGCTCACACATGCGAGATGTGGTGTCCTGAGCTGACCCACGGCCCTGCACAGGACAGCACCGGAGACATAGGGTGGGATGGGCGACTGAGCTGTCCCCACCACACTGAGGCAAAACACTGGGC